AAACTGCTCAAGCCGATAGGTACAGTAAGCAACGATAAAAATATCCCCCCTACCCCACAAAACTGCTCACTCTGTTGCTCTGACCACTTCCAAAAGCAATTATCCTGATTTATGACTCAAAATGGAGCCATGGATAGTAAACTTGGAAACTACAAAGACCGGAAATAAGCAAATGAACTCACCCTTCAAACATCACCACGTTGCTTGTCTTAACGGACTCACAACGGTTCTGCTTAAGGACAAAGTTCAAATCGCAGATGTCACTTGATCAACTTATCTGTCTCAAACTCTTTGGATTATCACAAAGGTTTTTGAATAGCATACGATCTCTGCCGTAAATTGACGGCCACCCAATGCTTTCTCACATTCAGTACACCTCCATTTTTGCTCAGTTTCTCCATCTATGAGGTGCTAATATAAATTTTGGAGAGAAGCCCTGGAGTTCATATGTCGAGAAATAAGATATGTAATGTACATATCATGGTATTTCAAGTTCTGGAAATCTGTAGAGGGAGCAAAATGTACTGTGGAGCCTCCGAACAACGGAAGGCCCATAATTTGAAACCGAGGTCAGCCTCTGGACTTCCACTGACTAGGTTTGGGAAAACTGACAGTATTCCGGCTGCGGTTCTTCCTTCGGGTGGCAAGGCGGCTAAACGCCACAGATGAAAGTTTTTCACCAGAGTTTGTTCGGCATGTCTTGCGTCCACATAATGCAGGATCATCATTCGAAGACAATACTGCTTGAAAAAGCTGCTGGGAATTCGTGGGGAGCACTGAGAGTCGCGCAACACTATATGTATTTTAGAAATTATATTGAACGGCGATAAAACGACAAGCGAAGTCGTGTCACAAATGTCTTATCAGCTTGCGCCATTTGTGGCGCCAGACAGGCGTCTCATTGAATACAAAAGTACTCAAGTGTCAGATGACATTTTTAGCTCTTTTGGAATATGGCTGCTAAACTGTGACAATCCGTGTAGAAAAACTTAGGAACTGACTGCAGTTGTCTCAGAACTACAAGTGAATTAGGATAGAATCAGTTGGGTTAGGCAAATCTGCTATGCAATTATCAGGAAACGGATCTGTGATGGACCAAATAATATTTCCCACCTGGAATACCATCCAACTTACATGCTGAGATGGCTTGGTTGAGTTACTGTCAACCAAGAAGGGCATTGACTCCCATACTAATTTTCGAGTAGAGGAAACTTGGCGTTAGAATGAATTTTACACGAGAGAATGTGGTGAAATTATGGAAAACTTTCTGGATGGGACATACATCGGCATCTTCGAGGCTGAATGGGGACACTGAGAGTTAGAACGACCAGCTGATGTTTTTCCTGCTCCCTGCTGCTCATCGGATTCTCTGGGGCGTAGGCATGTTTACGATTTGTGGGTCCATTTCTCTTGTTGCTATTACAACGTTTTATTCAAATAAGTAACTTCTTTATACGACAGTTAAGTGCTAGTCTTTCTTCAGAGTTCAAATATCGTTGAAAACGACGATTGTTTTGGCGTAATCTGAAACTAATTTGTGAGCTGCAGCCAGTTTCATGGTGTATTTTAGTCACAAGTGAAGCGAGAAATCTTTATGTGTTGTTTATTTATTGCTTCTCTCCTATGCCGGAGATCATGTACAAAATCATCAAATGTAGAATTTGGTTCAACTGTAGATATATTAAATTAAACTTCCACTGAAAATCGGACGACAGAAACTAGCACCAAACAAAATTGCAGCACACAACCTGAAAACTTATTAGCTGTTTTTGCAAATGACCACTCAGAAATATATTTAGTAATAAATCAGTCGTTCAGATTGAACCAAAGACGGCAAGCGAAGCATTTCAATGACAAACCCCTGTAAATCTTATTTTTTCATTTTGATTTTGCTGATATAAATCAAATTGTAGAGTTGGTAGGCCGACACTGTTAATTAGCCACAGCCAATCTTCTCCAGTCGTGCGGTTCTTCTTAACATAGTCTGTAAAATGTATATATGTACACGTTGCCTCACTTGATGCACAGGGCGCAATCTGAGCATAACTGTTTCTGACAAACGACACTTAGGCTTATCTCTGGTTATACTACTTCGACTGACCTTCGGCATATGGACCGTCTCACGTTCTTCCGGCAAAATAATCGAGATATCATCCACAACCTCCAAAGAAATTTCGGTCAACATGAGAATAGTATCATATGCCAAGTAAAACCAGCTTATCTTTTCAACCCGAGTGCTCTCGAGCTCCTAATAATGTGTAGAATAAACTAAGCTAAGCGAATTGATCGCCGAATAAAAAAGTGGCGTCTGCTCTGTTATGTTGCAAAATTGCTGGAAACATGACAAGCAGTTTTTTGAAAAGTGTAGACAAGTTTTGCAGCTCTAGCTTTGCGTGAAAAAGCTATAAGTGCACGTCCTGGTGTTATTGTGCTCATGTTATGATGAGACGCTCGCATTATTCTACTAACTTTTATATAAATCAGCACTCATTTTTGACTTTGAGTACCAGCCTCACCTGATTTCTCGTGTGCTTTTTTGTCCAACCCCAAAGGTGTTGAACCCACCGAGTATCGGCTTGTAAGGTTTCATATCTATTGGAAACCACCAAGTGGTTGACTTGGGAAATTTTACCTTACTCTCTATCTTCAGTCTGAACGAAATGTCTTCGAACTTGCGGGATTTTTTACAACTATGAAATTCGCATTTGCATCCAAGTGTACGACACTGTAGTATGTTACGCTAACTTATCTAAAATACAGTGTTTAATTATTACTAATATCTTGTAGCCGTCGGGATTTTTGTTAGCGTTATCCCAAGATGCCAAACTTAATTTTGTGTAGTTTAAGTGAACCATCAGCTCTTGTGTGCAAGAAAATTACACCAAAAAGCTAACAGATAGAAGCAGATGGAAATTCCATCTTTCTGCGATGGTGTGTTAGAAAAATCAACAAAAATCTCAATTTGTTTTCCATACATCTCGGTCTTTTTCACTTTCATTTCGCGTTTATAATGTGATCCTATTTTTTCACATTTTGTTCTTCCAGTATTTGCTGAGTCTGGTTCTTTAGGCGTCAAACATAATAGTAGAAAATTCAACGACCAGATTTTTTGCTGAATCCCGTAAACAGCTTAATTAAATATTTTAACACCTGGATTAACAAGACCCGCTTGATTCGGTGAGGCGTTGTTGTAGTTAGAATAATTGTCTTAGGTTAGGTTTGCGACAGCCGTAATAAAACGGGCGGTATATATCGTTTTTTGCAGTGAATGTGATATTCGAAAATGGTTCATGAGACCAAATACGTCGCACTGATTGTGTAAGTATGGACTTTAGAAAGTGCTTTGCCCCACAACCAAATTTAACGACCTTGTGCCTAGGAATACGGTTAAGGAAGATTATTAGGTTTACAAACAATTCAAGTAGGCAATTTTTGGCTACCCTTCTCGCATAAGTTGAAGTACACAGCCGAGAAATATTGTCGCTGAATGAATGTAGCTTGCACAATATTTAGAAGCAAACTGTGTGGTGCAGTACGGAGTACATCGTGCAGGTCGTTTGCATCTTTCGTGTAGAATGAAACCAAAGTGGCCAGTAAACAAAACCAAGATATTCTCAGTGTGACGTTCCTGTATTTGAGTGCCTAGGACAGGCTAAAGCGATTCAGTATTGCTTTAAATCTCTTCTGTGCTTGTTTGTTTAGACCGGAGGTAACTAGCAGAACACGGCTGTGTGCACTGCTTCCAGTGGACGTCTGGCCCAGATTTGACCACAGCTGTGTTAGTGTTAGCTGGCGCGGTAGCAATCCTTTGAGGGCATCTAATCCTGCTCGCGGCTTAAGCTGACGGGAAAGCCATGGTGTGCCTAGATTACCAGAGCTGCGGGGTTTTTTATAAACTGCAGTGGTCCCCAAACAAATCCAACTATGTTGTTTCGCTGGGGGCTACAACACGGACAGTGTACATAACCTTTACGTGGTCCTACTGTGTACTCATTTAAATAAGCTAAATTCTTGTAAACCACGCCATAAAGTTTGCTTTACCACCGAAAGCGATGTCTTTTTGGATGGAGTAACTGTGGTAAGTGTGTGAGCACAGTGTATCTTTGCGGATTTCAGTTTTGCATCCGAGACTGCAGGGATGCAACTGTGTAACTCTTGGGGTAAACATGTTGATTAGCATGTGTCTGAAATACGGTGGACACAATCCTATAAAGCTCAACTGGTTTTCGATCCATGTGGGTCTTTTCCTACACAGAGCAAAGCATTCAGTACGTCTAGCCACGGAAAAGAGCAAAAATGGAAAACTGATTGGATTATTAAATTTGCAGGTAAGCACGTGTGTTAAGACAGATTAAAACACCGCCATCGACCGTGGTGAGAATCACAATGTTAACATCCTTTTCCCTGAAATGAACACAATTCGCAAGCTACTTCTATTGAAACCAAACGAAGCGCCACGGCCGCGACAAAGTTTAGATAATCTGGAGTAACCTCAACTTTGGTTAAGTACTTACCCTTAGAAGTGTGTACCTGGAGAAAGCCACTTGCCTCTAGTCCAATGGTTTACTTTAATGAGCATAATGAAGTTTACCCCAAGATATCTATTTAATAATCATTCCTCCATCCAATGAGTGGCTTCAACTATTTATGATCATATACACCGCATAAAATCATCACAGCGGTTCAAAATTTTGTTTACAATTGTGTTCTAACAGTGGACATTGTCAGACCCAGACATGGAGCGCACATTATATCAAGTTTCTAGGAATCTTGCGATTGAGTTACTAAGACTATACCCAGCATAGAAGGCGGGCAGTGGCAACCTAGGCTAACGTCATGCTTATAAGTCTCGTGAAAGTGTAATGAACTTAGGTACGTAAGCACGTTGCGACTAATAAATTAAGACAATACGCACCAGCCAATCAAAAACACTGCATTCTGATTGGCTTATATCTCAGCGGATGTGTTCAAAGTTATGGTAAACCGACTACATTGCCGCGCAAAGAACTGCATGCTATGTTCACCTAGAAAGGATATCCTCGCATATTTTGTTACGAATATGGAATACAACAAGGGCGAGACCAGTTTCGTTGTGTTCATGTTCGTCATTCTTGTCCTGTTCTCAATATTGGGCAATTTTATGGTAATTTATGTGATTCTCAAGTGTCGTGGATTGCGAACTGTGACGAACTACTTCCTGTTCAATTTATCTGCCGGTGATTTGTTAACGCTGTTCCAAATTGTGCCAAATGTTCATTATGTATTGACAAGAGACTGGATATTTGGACTTAGTTTGTGCAAACTGTCGCAGTTCTTCACAGTTTTCAATATCGCCATATCGGTCTTCACATTCGTGGGCATCACGGCAGATCGGTTAGTCGCAAAGAATTAATTTTTAACGTATTAAGTGGTATTTATTCCTTTAAGGCTATTTTTTCACTGGGAGTTTTCACTTGACAAGAACGCGCACTTCTCAAGCGTTCATTTAGAGACAGCAGCTAGAAAGAATCTATTGTTGAGCGCAATATCATCATATCTACTGGGTTTTTCTCAAGCAGTATCCTAGATACTAAAGCGCTACAGTGTTCCGTCGTTCAGTAGCACAGCCATCCGCTTAGCCAACCAAACTAAGTTAGGCCCCAAGTCAGGTATTTTCATGAATGTAAAGATACCATTATGTTGCAAGACTTTCGGAGTGTTCAGACACAGAAAAATGGAGGATGAAATTTTTGTAAAATTTAAATTATAAATACTAGCAAGTTGGTCCTAAGCCTATCTGATCACACCGATTGCGGGCAGCTACACAAGTTTCGGTTTCTTATAAATGACTGTTGTGGTCGTGTTTGGCTGACTGTTAATAGCAGAAAGTTTGAAATGTGGAGATTTTATGTTCTAAATTCTTTCAAATCAGCTTCTAGAGATGCATCCCTTTTTTAACGATTTTTAAATTGTCAGGCAAGCTGAACGAATCAACGATGGATACACGTGAACACATGGGTATGGTGCCACCTCCGTCATGACAAAATCAAGCTGACATGGCTTAATAGCTCAACATGGCTCTGTGGCTAATGCGCAAACTGAACGACTAAAAGTTATTGCTTCGTTAAGGGGGGCAGCAGAGCAGCTAGGCACAGACAGAATGCAACAGCAGAACCATTTTGGGTAAAACAAAACAGTTATTGTGTCTGGAATTCAAACTGAAAGAATTTATAACATTACCAGTGATTATACGTAGGGACATTTTGAAGCACCATAAGAAGGTTGTGGTCTATCACGTCTTTAGTTTCTATGCCGTAGTTTGTGATTGGCAGCTACATAACAGGCTTTCTTTCTTCCTTTTGACACTCCAATTTTTTTTCGGTCTGCGGGTAATAATTTTCGAGTAAATTTAACGTTGCTTTAGTTGCCCTGAACAAAGCTACCTTAAGCGGTTGAATTTAATGAAATAAACCCAAACTTTTAAGCGCTTATGGGAATATAACTTTTTCTGATTCGAAGGTAGAACAACAATCAAGCACGACCAATGACGGTATCATGTTTAGGAGTCAGTGAAGTCAACTAGATAGAAAATTTGACCACACAAACTGAATCCCACAGAGGTTCTGTCACGTCAAGGGCTTGTTCACATTTGGCAAAACGTCGAGTACCAGATATCATATTCTTGTCCATTTATATTAAACGTTTAAGTCTATCACTAAAAAGAAATGTATTTACAATTCTTTGTTTGAGGTTGCTGTGTGTAGATATCTTAGTGGCACAAGACCTGACAGTAAGGGTAATCATTTATCAATAGAAAAATTTGAGCAGTGCGCTGCCCACTAGGGGGTTGAAGGTCTAGATATGAGGTGCTACTTCCACAAACTCATAGACAGGTCATGCCTTAGTGAAGGCCCTGCGGAACAAAACATTTAGGTGCTACCAATTGAAAGCAACATTCAGGAAGACGGATATGTAGCTATTTGTCATCAAGGAATGGTTACTAGTTCTATTGTGGGGTAATGGTTTGTGCGATCGAATTTGAGTGCGTGAAGTAGTCACCATCGGATCGAGCAGTTAGTTTTGGTTAATACAAACCATTCACTGCATTCGAGGGCTGTCTATTTACTCGATATTTATCAAAGCCAACAGTATTTCGCTCACGGATTGCCGCGAAAACAGCCCAGTTATTTCTCTGGTTTTCACTAATGGGTGTTTTCTGTGATATTGCCTGATGATTTAGCTGGTGTCTTCTAGGGAAGCTAGTATAGATTCACCTAAATCTTAACTTAGTATGGTCAAAAAGCAAAAACAGAACAAACCAAACGGGCATATTTTTGCGCTTACAAAGGGTTCTCTATGTGAAATTTAACAGTCATTTATCAGGCTTGTTATACAACACAGATGTTTAAAGTTTTATTATCACAGCAACGATGTGCTAGCCTTTATTGAGAACCCGAACCAGAGATTGGCCCTAAATCTCAGAACGTAACGAATGTACCAATTCTTTTCGGTAGAAAATCTGGAAGACTTTGTCATGGTTGTTCCAACATCTAAATTGGGGTAATATCCTCTGGAAAGGCGAATTTTAAGAGAAGAAGAAAGTATTTTTGTCTGTGGGATGGACTTTCTCAATATATTTTCTGCATTGGGTGTCACCTACAGTTAGTACAGAATTGTCGCATCTCATTTCACTACGTTTTGTGATGAATTTAAATTTTCCATATCATACACTACATTGCGCTTAATCTGCTTACCAGGACCCGAGAGTATTTTGGAACTCCTAGGTGCTCGACTCTTTTGCTTCCAAAATACCTTCGTTTTTCTGGTGAAGACACTTAATTTTCGAGTGTGAGTTGTATGAGACCAAACCCAATTTTTTCACTGAAAATGGCACCCAGGCACAAGTGCCCAAGTTCACGTTTTCATAATATATTTTAGACACCAAATTGTATCAATGCGGATAACCTTTGATTTGCAGAGCTATGTTTTCCACCTACTTCTGCGTTTGGAATTCGGTAATGGCTATCGGGTCACCGTGCAAACACTCAACACCTACTCCGTACATTTCACAATAGCTTATGATCGAACGAACAAAACAATCAGTTGATCGGCTTGATGTAATTGTTTACTGGAGTGTTTTGTCCTTAAGTCATACGTTTGCTTCGAATGTCCAATATAAACAAATGTTGGACAACACCGACATATCGGCACGGTGTGGGATGCAAATACGGATCAGTGCAACTTGTCTCCACAAAATTCAGCAGGGGTACAAGCCGCCCAATGTGTGTATGTGTAATGAGTTAAATATACTTTGCAAAATTTTTTCCCCAGAATCGTGTTAAATGATTAGCTATAATAGAAAATTCCGCATTACCGCGTCCACCAGACCTACGAAAAACGGACTGCAATCCTACTTTCTAGCCTCGCAGGAATCTGCTTACGTGGCTCTTTATGACAAACTGATCACTGCCGTAATAAATCAGATACGCAACGTTATTTTTGCAGCCGTTAAATCTGAGTTGTGATGTTCCACGAAGCCTAGCGCTCTAGGTTTAGGAGTCACAAACTGATTGCACCAATTTAAAGATTTGGACAGACTTTGGGAGTTGGAATTTTTGCTCCGCTTTTGGTGAGGACATGGGCTGATTTACAAAACGTGCCGCGGTTGGCAGGAAAATAAGCGATGATCAGAAATATCAGCCTCAGACTTCTAAATTTGCCAGAACGTTTCTGAGTAAGTCACAAATCACAAAGATGTCAATGTAGATATCTAGGTTGCTAGCCCAAGGGATGTACTGGAATAGCAACTTATTTAGGCCTCTTTGTGGATTGGGTCAATGATCAGAGCAAATGAAGCTAGGAATCAGCATAAACTTCATATTTATTAGGATTACACAGATTTTGAGAAAGACGAAGTGCTCTGCCTTTGTTGCTGTTGGCCACGGCAAAATCGGCCTAACCAGCCCCAAGAAAGCAAAAGAGGTATGCTCAGATACGTATGGGGTATTTCAGACGTCTTTTGCTCAATCTTTTCAGGTGTATACTACAGAGGAACATTAACAACTAATTAGCAGAACAGTGAAAAATGCAATGAGAAATTACTTACTAGCACAACAGTGATTGAAAATGAACGACCAGCTTGTGGCACCACACTTCAATGAAGGAACGTTTAGTGCCTTAATAAACAAAGTTGAATTCCTCGTTTCAGAGAAGTCTGGCAAACAGTCGGTAATTTATAATCGGACATTGTTTTGCTTTTGATGCAAAAGCCTCTTTAAGACAAGTGAGCAGATAACAAGTTGACGAGGTTTTAGGGCAGACGGAGAGCCAATCAGTAAGACGTCTTCATATAAGCTTACTGGACCACAGCTGACTGTTAATTAGTGGCTGTTATCGGTCGGTGTGGTTGCAGAAATCTGGCGTTGATGGGTTGGAGGAGCTTGAAGCCTAAAGTTATCCTCAAATGCCTTGGAATTTTGGCTCATAAAATAGGGTTATGGTACTGTATTTTATCATCTCCAATCTTGGTTTGCGTTTTGCACGGAGAAACGTGAGCATCTATGTTGGCAAAAGCGGGAGGAAGTTTTGATGTAGATCAGCGAAACAGTGTAGGGACCAGTTCGCCCCACCATGACTGAGACCCATTTCGATGATAGTCCGTCATTTAAACGCGTTTCTTGTGGAGTAAAGGACCAGCACAGTATAAGATACTGCTCTATTCTTAGTCCACTGCTACGAGAAGACGGAAGACGGAACCAGGAAACCTAATGAATTGGTATTTTCCTCCTTAATTCACCTGCTTTTGACACTTCGACTGCCAAAATTTTGCTCCGTTTTTTTGTTTAGCTATTCTGTGGCACATACAGATATGTATGTATAGCACACATACATCAGGAGCGATACACAAGGTTTAAGGGCAGAAGATATCTAAAATGTTTGGTCGATAACGAACATAGTGATTTATAGAAGCTGAGTTTGAGGGCAGCGATGTTTTTCACAATTGAAACGTATGCAAACAAGAGTTTTAATGTAACAGACAGGATTGGATACGAACGAAAAAGTTACGAGTGCATAAATTCTGGAAAACTGAGGCGTTAGTGAGTTTACACGTGCAGTTGCCAATGTTGTGTTAGTAAACCGGGTGTGTCATACTCAGAAGAGAAGTTAAGGCGGCACAACCTCCGGTGAATATGGCCAGTCAATGATGGGAGAGGCACCACTGTGGGCCTGTAAGCAATATCCATAGCGCTGGCGGGTTTGTCACCTGTATATCATGATTATTTAATATGGAAAGTTGAAACGAATTCTCAGGGCATTCGGCTGGTAGCCCTTTTGGCGTGAGACGACAAGAAAATGTGGCCTAAATGTGGAGAAACAAAGTGATATTATGGATC